AAAAAGGGGAAAAAAATAAATAAAAAAGGGGAAAAAAATAAATAAAAAAGGGGAAAAAAATAAATAAAAAAGGGGAAAAAAATAAATAAAAAAGGAAAATGTTAAACAAAGGAAGCAGGCATGTACATATGTATATATTTATATACATACCAACTGTGCAAGCGCAACATGTGGGGAATGCCTATACAAGTGTGTATTAACTGCATGGGAGCACACCTGCCTCAACGGTACCATCACGGATGGAACAAAGCGCATATTCACATCATCTATGATCAGGCACAATTTCAATCGAATTAATAGCAAATGGGGCTTTTATATACACATTTGTATAGTCCCGTGGTGAGGTCACCATGTCATCCACGAGAGTCTTCCCCCCATCGTCTTTTCCTTTCTCCTGCATTTTGCACATGTTCAAAGGGCACTTCAACTCTTCATTTTCTCTCGACTGAATGTTTTTCCCCGTCTGGCGTAGTACCACATTATTGCGCGCTTCTTCGGGCTTTATTTTATCATTCTGTGTTTTCATGCGGCAAATTTTTTGGGGATCGTTTTTTTGGTTTGTCTTGAAAAACGTGCTGGGGCCATTTTCCCCCTGTTTAACAACACAAGGGGGGCTCCACTTTGCGTTACTCCCTTCTCGATTGAACATGCGATGCATGTGATTGTTTAGCTTAACAACGTCTTTGTTTATTCCGTCTATGTAATCATCAACACGGGATCTGCTCCCTCTGAGCGCTTCTCCACCCTTTACGCACACTTCACGCTTATCACATGCCCGTGTGGAAGTAGAACTACGTGTTCCACATTTTGCGTCGCCCCTATGGTTACACCTCACCCCATTGTGAGATATGCCCCTCGGGAAACCTCCATTAAGACCTTTTTCACGAATAAGCGTCTTCTTCCCTTTCAGCTTTGTTCTTCCAACATCTTTATCCGTCCTCAAAGGTTTAACTGATATGCCCTGTGTAGGGAATCCTCCCTGGGTGCTGTTCCTCCCTATGTGTAATTTTCGAGTGTTCACCTTGCTAATGATTCCTTCGCTTAGGGGAAAATATACCTCCTCATCTTTGCCACCAGTAGCACCGTCCGGGTTTTCCTCCGCGTTGTTGCACGTCTTTCCCCTTTCCACACCTTCGTGTACAATAACGACACCCAGGTATTTGCTTAAATATTTTTTTACCGAGTCTTCGGGACTACACATCCTGAGAGTTGTCCTCTTTGTAACTTTCTCCTGATCAATTGCGTCTCCGTTACACTGATTAGAAATTGGCTCATCATCATTATAATCTTCCTCCTCCTCGTTCATCTGAATGTACCCGCTATGTCCCCTTAAACTAGTATTTTTTTCTACCCCTTCGTGACCTTCACCAACGGGGGGGACTCCCAAATGTGTTTTATGCCTCTCCCCCATGTCGAGGGCCCCCTGTCGATTAGCGCCTAGAAAAAAACCATCACTCTCCAGGCTTTTCCTTTTTTGGAAAATATTCTTCAACAGTTTATATTTTGTGTAGTCCTTCATTTTCCTTCTGTTGCCTTCTTCTTGTCTTTCCTTCGCCTGGCCACTTCCTCTGCTCAAGTTTGGAACCCCCTTCAGCGTTGCTTCACTTCTTGGCTTGAGCTTGCCGGTGCCCTGCTTGTGGTTAACGTGGTGGTGCTTTCTAAGAGGCGCCTTATAAATGTCTTCCTTCTTGTGTGGGTCCCCCTTAGCCGCTTCCCCCAATTCGCGCTGCGCCCCTTGGCGGAGCGTCGACTCATTTGGACCCCCACGATCCGTCTTCCCACTTTTCCAAAAAAGGCTAACACTCATGCGGGCACTTCTGAAGGAACAAGTTGTAGTTTTCCCCTTGGAGTAAATTTTTCCTCGACTTGACAATTCTCCCCAGGAGGTAACGCAGCTTACATGGCTGCTGACCCCTCTTTGTACGTTTGCCTGGTCCCGCCTCGAACCCTTCCTAACACCGCATGAATACACTGCAAAGGTGTAAGGATTCAAAAGGCAAACAACTTTATCCTTCAGCAAACCAAAGCGTCCTCCACGTGGAAGTAGAAAAGGACAAAGTCGCGTACTTTCAAGTAACACCTTCCTGCACAGGTCAATCATTTTGACTCTCCTACTGTTGGAGCAGCTGAAGGAGCACAAGTGGTAGTTGTAGCGGTTGCCACTGCTCGTGTTATGAATACCCTCCCTCACTGCGACGTAGAACAGGTTGTGGTAATTTGGGACCAAATTTACATGAACAATGGTTTGTCCAAAATAGAGGCATCTGAGGTACCTCAAGTCGACCTTTTCATTTCCCCCCACGTGGATTCTAAACAAATATATACACCGTTCAGTTGCGCACAACAGGATATTCCTCCCCTTGTTCAGGATTAGCCAACTGATTTGTTCCCCCCGAGGTGCCAACCCGTCCATCTCTCCACCGTTTCTTCGTTTTACAACTCTCCAATTAGGTAACACTTTACTAATTGAACATATGACTTCGTTTGGGGTCTTCTTCTTCGAACTCTTCTCATGTTCATCTTCTCTTCCTAACCGACACATTCCACCCGGAATGTTGGGAATGCCCCTAACGCACCGCGCCACCCTTAATCCTGCTGCACCAAAGTCCTTCATGTGAACCTTGTTAATCACTTTGGCCCTTGCCTCCGAAACGGCAAAGAAGCACAAACTACCCCTCACCGTCCCACATATTAAAACTCCACTTGACAGGAACACAAAGGATGAAATGGATCCCTCTGTTAAAGTCACCACCTTCACTGGGGAGTTATAGTGTATTAAACTCATTTTGTACAAACACCTTTCTACATTGTAAAATATATGATCACTGTCTAATGAGAAGCAGTTTATCTTTTGCCTCTGTTTATTAATTGAACAGGTCTCATTGGAAATCAAGTTGTGAAGGACCACCTCATCATTGGAGGTTCCTAACACGAGGGTATAAATATCTAGCAGGCAAGAAGCGCATACGATCCTTTTACTATCCTTTTCATTCAGGGTTGGACCCTGCTTAACGGAGGAAGATAACCCTCCAGAGGATCCCTTTCCCTTCTGCTCAGTACAATTACGTGATGGGTTGTTTCCCCTTTGAACACCACTCATGCTACTAGGGGGGCTTCCTCCAAATGAATTTAGGGATCCTCTGTCCACGAGCGTACAATCGGATGTACCTCTCATGGTGGACAATCTGCTGCTACCAACAGAGGGAGAGTCTTCCCCCCATGAGCAAAATATGTCCACCGATTTAGAAGTCTCATAATTGGGCATCCCCAAAAAATGTAACACCCCGGAACAGCTCAGAACCACTACCCAATTTTGATGCGTAAAAATTGAAACAATCCCGTGGGCGGAAATCTTTCTTACATGTTCTACCCTGTGGGGTCTTCTAAAATCTACGACTATTATTACACCTCGTTTGGTCCCCACCACCAAAAATTTTTTTCTTCGTGAGGGGACCTTCTTCGCGTTTCTCCCTTTTTGGGGGTGCAGTTGTGCGTTATTGTTTCGGTCACCATGCTTGACTCCCTCTTGTAGCTTCAAAACAACATCTATATCGTCCCCCTCCTTTACACACAAACAGGTGACAACCGCGATAGCACTAATTTCATCCCCTAAAAAATTGTCAAATTGATTAGCCACACATTTTTTCAAATTCAGCTGCGCCTCGTTCATTATTGGATCTTGATTCGGTGGATTCCCCTCCGAGATGATCTGCTCCGCAACTGAGCCGTCTGTCCATGGTGGGAACTCCCCATGCGATTCATCTCTTGCCATTTCTCCTGAGACATCACACAAACGTAAACCATTCACAAATAGTTCCATCGACAGGAAGGAAAAAAAGTGGAGACCCTGCTCTGGTCTACTAAACCTGCCATCGTTTAAAAATGAGGCATTCATAACCCGTTCACTCCTCAGCCTTTCGTAAAGGATTCCATTTTTCAACACGTAACACAACATGTACTCCCCGTTGTATATGCACACGTTATTGTGAATCGGTACGGACACTCTAAATTCTGTTAGCACCCTGTTGGACCTTTTTTTCTCCTTCATAAATGGGATTACAAATGTTATTTCATAATGTGTATACCCCCCTTTTCTGCGCTCTTCCACCTGCACGATGTTTGCCGCATCTGTCGCGGCTATCTTCCTAAAGTAGGACTTGTCAGGAGTAGCCCCTCTTACCCTTCGGTTGGCAATTATGTGTGCACCAGGCCTTGCACGCTTTTTCCTGAACAGCCAGAAAGCACTGCTCCCCTCCGTGGCCGCTCTTCCCATGAGGCGTCTCTCAAGCTTTGTGATGGCTTCCTCACGGTTGCCACGTTTGACGCAGTTCTCATCATGTTCCGCATTTTGCCTTCTTTTCCGTTGCGCCGCTTCGTAACAACCTTCGACCCCATTCAACACGCGCGCGTTGCTCAGCCTGAGACGTACCCCCTGGTCGCGGCAGCTCTCCACGGATAGAACCAAACACACTAACTTACCAGCCCACTTGCACAGAAGGAAAATGTCCTCATCGTTTAAAAACTCTAGGTCGAGAAAGTGTTTCTTCTTTATCTTTATTTTGGATAAAATTTTAAAGTTGTGCTTGTCCCATAGGTATATTCTCACGTGGCTGTTGCTCTCCTCTACACTCAGAACAGTTCTACCCCTTTCTGTGCACCTGACCAGGGTCACCTGAAAAATGGGGCAGGACGATCGATGAGAGCAATTCGATTATGGGTTACATTGCAGGTGTGGAATTTCGACATAATCAGATTAGTAAAACGTACACGCGGATAGACACATCGGACATTTTGAGCCAAATTATGCTAAACACATTTTTTGCTCATTCTTTTTTTTTTTTTTTTTTCGCTACCTCATTCAGGTGTTCGGCAAAGATGGACTGCACTGTGTCCAGCAGGTCGTACACGACGACTAAATTGTCAACGGGGTATATAACCTTCCTATTGGCGAACTTGAAAATGTTATTTCTGCCCCCACAGTACCCGTGCACGTATTGCGGGGTAAACTCGATTCTCTTCGCTTTTATCATTTCCTAAAGGGGCTAATCCAAACTCCATTGAATGCTTCGCGAATTGAGCGCTTCGTCTTTCTTGGCAGAGAATTTTCGGTAGCATTTGTTTTACATGCTCCACTTTGTTTCTCCAAACCAAGGGTGTCTTTTCACACTCTTCAGCGCAGTTAGTTAATTTGTTTGGCGCTGCAACGTTGGTAGGCTTGCGGTGGGGATGTTCGAACAAAAAAAAAAAACAAAAATTAAACACACATAAATAGGTATACACCCGTGTGTGTATTTTTTATGCTTGTATATTTCGCTTTGTTTATTTCGTCTGCCTTGCTCTTTCTTACTGTGTGATTTTTCTCCCTCACCATTATCGGCCCATGCTAATGTGCGCCTTTTCCAAAGTGTATGCACAGGGGGTAAACGGTACGTGTATGAAGAGCTGTTCTGTTACTTTTTTGTTTTTCGTTTGGCGTTGAGACGCGTTTTCTCGTGTGTGCATCCTTTTTTTTTTTTTTTTTTTTTTTTTCATTCTCTCTCTGGTCAGATATTTAGCTACCTACCCTGCATAAATGGCACAATTTGCCTGAACAGTCAGGTAATTTTTTATTTATTTTATTTGTTTTTTTTTTTGAAGCCATTGGCTTAGAAGGGGAAAACGCCAAACGGGACATGTGTAAACTTTGAAAAGAACAGCAGCGCGTGAGACTCAAATTTGCACGGCTAGACTGCTGTACGACTATGTTCGGATAGGCACACACCTCGGGGGAAGAGACGCCTCTGCGCGTTACGTAATTGCGTCACGGCTATGCAACTTCCCCATGCGGTGTGCCTATTGGAGTAGGGAAGCTTCTCAACCACATGTGGCACGACTTGGGGCCACTTTGGTAGATCGTTTTGGTATCCCAATGTGGTATTTAGTGGGGAAATGGGAGGGCAAATGCCGAATGGGGAAATAGTTACGTCTGGGGCACCTTCGTGAGGTTAACGGACAAAAGGAGCAAAAAAAACGAAAAAAAAAAAAAAAGGGCACAAAAAAGGGGGAACCCAAAAAAGGCAGGCAACGGGGGCGAAACAACTCTCAGTCCTTCGTGCCGATTATAATGCGCAGCTTCCCCCGCGTTAGTCCTTGACTAACTGCAGCGCGTCCGCCAGGAAGGATTGCGAGTTGTGGATTTGCGTGGCGCCGAGCAGAAAGGAAATGTTGTATCGCTTGCTCAGATATTGCAAGTCGCGGTATTCCTCGTAGGTGGCCCCCCCGATGAAGAATATGATCATGGAGTTGACTCGCTTATTCACATTCGGTTCGATGTTGAGCAAGTTGGTGGTCGTGTACGTGTGACTGTCCAGTTTGGATTTCATCAAATCTTCAATGAGGTAATAAATGTACGATTTGTGTAGCGTAAAAACGTTGGAGGTCCCTTTAATAGTTCTCGTTATGGTCGTTTTTGCAAGGTCTAAAAATGTCTGCTCTTTAAAAAGCTGATTATTTCTCGCCTCCTCACTTGCATACATTAGTAAGGCATCTATGAGTAACACTTGATCTTTGTCTATATTCCTTTTGGTCAACTCCATTTTGATCATCTCGACTTCTTCTTCGTCCTCGTATTTAAGCGTATACAACAAGGATAGCCTTAACACATCATAATTGGTGTACGCCTTATTTCTAATCGTCTCAATGACCTGCTTAAAGTGTTCACTTTTTTTGTAATCAATGGCGATGGACTGTTCTAACTCGGACATGTAAAATAATTGTCTCTTCTCCACAACTTCAGAAAATTTATGAAGGACATTCACATGTTTCGTAACATTTCCAGAAAGCTTTTTATAATTTGGATAAATTTCTATAAATTTCTGGATGTCATCTACTGATTCTAATTTGCTCTTTTTAGAAGTCTCCTGTTGATACACATCTACATATGATTTGACTGCTTGTCCGAGATCTCCAAAATTATCAAATAAATGCTCATTGTAAAAATCATCATAGATGCAAGACATCACTATTTGAGATTCTTCTGAATTGTTGCCCAAGTTTATTTTGTTGTTTTCTATTCCGATGAGTTCATGCAACATCGCTTGATACGTCCACTGGGTTAGCAGCGGAGTGATGGGATCTTCCCTTCTGTCCAAAATTAACATATAGCAACAATTCCCCTCAGTCCCCAGGCTCATAGACTGACTCCCAATAATGCTATTAAATTGGTAGTTACTATGGTCGCCCTGCTGATTAGCCATTTTTATTTGCTTCTCCACTTCTCCATTATACCTTTCATACGCATCCAATACACCAGAAAAAACAGATTCATTTCTTAACATTTTAATTTTTAATAAATCAATTATGTGTTTACAAATGGGAGAGTTCCTATTGTATATAATATCAGGCACTTGTTTAACGGAACACAAAAGGGAGAAAACTCCATCCACTATCCTCTGAACTACTTGATTTTCAAACAGGGCAAAACTGGAGTAGCTACTCACATCATCATCGACAAGGACACTGCTATTGTAATCACCACTATTTTGCATTTGTGCATTGGAAAAGGCATCTTCCTTTCCTTCTCCAATAAGTCCAAACTCATCAATTGTAAGCTTATCATATTTGTTTCTAGCTCCCCCAAGGTCATATTTTCCATCAGTCCAGTTATACATACCTGGTGCATTTTTCAAAAAAGGACCTCTCATCTCCCTCTTCCTTCTGTTCCTACCTCTACCTCCCATGGACAGACAATGCTTAATATCATTTTTGTACAAAAAAGATGTGTAATCAATATTTAGGGAAAACAAATTATCATGGAGGACATATGCATCTATGTAGTACTCCATAATATTTTTTACGACTTCGAATTCATCCGCCTTGGCTAGCTTCTCCGTGTACTTATCGCTCAGGACATTGGTGAAGAACAGGTAGTACTCTAAGAATATTGGTTTCCTCAACTCCTTCATTAACTTCAGTATGTTGGTATGTGTTGGCCTTAAAAGGAAAATGGCCTTCAGATGCTTCAGATTTTTTATTTTGTAATTCTTGAAATCAAACTTATCACTTTTTCCACCGCTACTAGTCGCATCTTCAAAAATATTGCTGTCGTTAAAATTCAATGTGAGGAAGATCTCCTTTTCGAGGATATACGAGTGTGAGAAAATGAGGGAAATTATCGTCTTCGTCTCGTCGTCCAGGATCAGCACTTTGTAACCCTTCACCCGGTGTATGATCAAGTTTAGATACTCCTCGTAGATCTGCACCAGGCTTTTAAACACGTACGGGTTGGTCTCCATCTTTGCGGTGGGGGGGAGGGGGCAGCGGCCAAATGCAGAGTCACGCGTCACGCGCTAAGCGTGGATACGTTGTATATACAAGCACGCAGCTTTTACGTCGCGCACACTGCGTCGTCCAGCATGGTCGCTCCGGACGAGCTTCATCGAATGAACCGCATCGGGCTACACCTTGCGCAAGATCTTCCTCCTCAACTGGGATGAAGAGCTTAAAAGGGGTATGGCCGTCATGCCCGCTCTATTATATCACTATTTTACTTTTTGTAGTCTGCTCATTCGTTCCGCACTGACCTTTTTTTTTGCATTGTACTGTTTTGCATTTTTTTTTTTTTTTTTTTTCTCACTAGATCAATCGGGTCGTAACTATGGGTATGCCCTTGTAAAACATATATATGTTATATATATATATATATTTTTTTTTTAAACACGCACTGGCGGGTGCTTTCCCTCGGATCGCGCAACTCGTTTCGAAAAGGAACAAAAAAGGAAAACGACGCTACTGAAACGATTTCCTCCTCGCACGTAGGATTTTCTGTTTTTATTTATTTTATGTTTTTTTTTTTTTTTGCATCATTTTGTCCCACATCGTGTACACGTCCCCCCACTTTAGCGCGGCTTCATCATTGTTTTCATGTTGTGGGGGAATCCCTTCACTGTCCCCCTCCCCGCCCTCTTTGCACGTTGGGCAGTGAAAAATTGATTTGGAGCGCGCCGTACTTGCAGGTTGGGTGGAGTTATACACGTAGCGGCGTCGGGCGCGTCGCCAAGGTTAACTCCATATCCGTCTTGTGTGAAACCTCTACTTACGAATTACCCAATTGTTGGTGAGCGACGGCTCCAGATCGATGCTAACAATTTGAAGAAGTTTGGGCATGTTGCTGGACGAAATGGGCAGGCACAGGTGTGGGGGGACACGATGGGGGCAGACACCGGCGAAGCTTACTCGGAAGAAGGGATGACCCACCAGCTATCCCCCGGTGCAGTACCATGTCAACCAGGTATGGCGTGCCGTGCAAGGCGTACTCATAGGAAATGCACACGTCTTTGCTGACCACCTGGCGCAACGCGGTCAGCACATTCTTCTGAATTTGAGAATTCGTAGCGCCCATCCCCTCCTCCACGGTTTCCCAATGTTGACACAAAAAAAAATTAAAAATCTTCAAATATTCTCTGCTCACACTGTCCAACACTCTTCCGGCATTTCCCCCCAAATGAATGTCCAAGAAAAAGTGGTGAAAAGTGTGTAGACTGATAAGTAACATGGAAAAGAAATTGTACGATAATTTTTTTTTTTTTTTTTTTTTTTTTTTTTGTTTCTTCTTCATCCCCATCCTTGCACACACTATACACATAGGAAATAATTTCCAACGCGCGGTACATAATTGTGTAGAAATTATCAAACAGGTAAGTTTGGCTTATCGAGGTTAAGATGAATAAAAGGTGAACTGCATAAGACAATCGCTGCTTCGTTTTGTTTCTCCACTTGGCAAAAGCGTTGTTAAAGCAAGTGCGTAAAAGTTCCTCGTCATATATTCCTGCTTTGTTCATATAAGAAAGCATGCCTAACACGTTCAGGTCATTTAACTGACTCACATTAAGCCGTTTTCTTATTATATAAAAAAGACCTACGTCATGTATATTCAATCTGGCATAGCTGATATAAATACTACAGAGCAATCTTGCATCGAATGAATTTTCCCGATGCACTACCTTTTGTGCTATCATTTGAACAAGCTTTATCTTCGCTTCGTAACACTGGATGTCGTCCGTCATGCTCATGTAGTTGAGGAGCGACCCCAACGAGATTAAGTTGAAGTTTGGTACCCCTGTTGTTGCGCCATACATATTTACTTCACTTCGATCCGCCCCGTTTATAACCCCAACTGATTCACCCTTCCTATACTGGGCTGCTATTATCCTCATTAGAACTTCTATACATTGCTTATCTAAGCACTTGAAATACATAAGCCCATTCATAAGTTTGGTGATATTAACAGGGGAGAGATCTTTCAACTTTTGCTTGTCCACCACACTCCTCTTCACACATTTAATGAATGCCCTCCATATGTAAAAAGCCATGGGTTTTTTCCCTTTCTCCTCCTGAAGGGCATTTCTCTCCTCAGTCTGGTCACTCAACCCATCTTCGCGACGCCCATTCTGCTGAAAGAAGCGAACCTTCAAAACCTCCTCACCAAGGTAACCCTTCCCCATACAATTCGAAAAAAAAAAACTCACAAAAAAGGCGTCATAGGAGAAATCCAATTTTGTAAAAATATTTAAAATATTGCTCAGGACGACCAAATCGACATCCTTGCATTTGCTAATTAAAATGGTTATGGCACACAGGACCTTCATGTCCCCAATGTGATGCTCATAATATACATTTGTTAAATGACTTAAGCGTTTGAGAAGGAGGGTGCGTGTGCTTCTCTCCCCCTCATCTTCATCCCTTTGCCTCTTCACTGGAAGGACCTCCACAACAGCGCGCTCCACCAACCCGTCCGTAACGAGCAGCAAGGACGAGATGACTCCTCGTATACGATGACTCCACGTGGTTTTTATGTCCTCCCCTGAGGACCCAATTTGTTTGTAAAAAAAGGTCACAGCGTACGCCAGCTTAATTAACTCCTCGAGGCAGAGGAACAATGTGTGTTTCTCCTCTCGCTGCTCTTTTGTGGACAGGACGAACTTGATTGATGTCGCCTTGGAGTTGCAAAAATGGGAAATGCTTCGAACAAGACACGCTCTCTTTACCTCCTCCTCAGGCCCATGCTCCGTCCCGAAATTCTTAAACTCATGGCAGTTAAGGCTAATCAATTCAGAAAGGTCCACATCGAAGCATTCATTATATGCCCTTACTACGTGGTCATACACTTCTATACAATCCGCGTGCCATTTTTTGTTATACAAAACGGTTAGGCTGTAAAGCAGGGAGGTGCAACTTCGCCAAAACAGCTTGTCCTTAACAACTGTGCTCTTTTTAATTTCATTTTTTGAATACGCAAGGATGGCATTCACTAAACTTTTTTGCTCCTCTGTGAACCGATCCGAAGGGGAGTCTTTTTTCTCACTCACCAGATTCTTATTCATGGTTACAACTTGGTATAGGACTTTGGCCAAATCTCCCAGATGAATCGAGCGACATGGGGGTGCGCGGGCCGCTTCTCCCGTTGAAGATAATGCGGGTCTACTGCCCCCACCATCAACACCGTCACCCCCGTCTTCTCTACCTTTGCTGCGGCATTCGCCTTCGTTGGGTCCACCTGCCCCCGCTTCTACCACAGAACAGTTCGCTCGGAATAGTTGAGAGGAAAACCTTTTAATCAGATAGTTTGCAATGTCCTCATCCACCACAAACGGGTCAACCATTCTTAGTCGCAGCATAGCACTTACCAAGTCGTTCATTTCCTTCACTTTGAAGGTGCACGAATTTGTGCGAAGTTCCTGCGAGAGGATTCCCAATACGTCCCTGCACACAGAGGGGGTATCTTCAAATTGGTTCCCCTCACAGGTGTGTATCCTCATGCTTCCCCCCTGAACCCCCTTCATACGCACGTAATAATCTGTACACACGAGGAACAGGTTTAACAACTCGTTCGCTGTGTCTCCGCTCCAGCTGATGGTCCCTCCGCGACGCATTCCCCTTCTATCCCTCCTATTAATCTTATGGAAGTACTTCATTAAAATGGTTGTGTAAAGATCCTTGTTGCTCACTTGTTCGCTCAGCTGGAGAGCTTTGCTTAGCGCGGTTCTACTCATTAGGGTATACATACGATTGAGCATTTCTTCTATGTATTTTTCCTCCACCGTAGTGGCCAAAATGTTTTCCCTTTTACTGTCCAAGGGGGTCCATTTGTGCAATGTTCTGACTGACTTGTTCAGGTGGTTTGGGGCTTCTACCGGGGCTTCATCTGAAAATTCTGTTGACGCTTCGATTAGCGCTGCATTTTGTGGGGAACCTTTGTTGTCCCTATTTGACGCCGCCCCACCGCGCAGTCTGTCACATGGGGACACCAAATGACCTTTCCAGCTGCTCACATTGAGTAAAGAATATAACTCCCTTTGCAGTCTGACCAAATGACGTAAGCATTTTTTCCCTTGACTCACGCTTGTATCGTTGCGTGCGTCGCCTTTCCCCATGGCTGTCCCGACAAACGATCGGGCACCGGATCTACGTGTGTAGACAAACACATAGTGGTGCATTCTCCTCCCCCTTTTAATCCTGAGGACCCCTTTGGAGAGCGCACACGCGGCTGCAATCATGTTATCCGTTGGTTTGCATCCTTCGGGGAATCACCACGGCGTTGCGGAGGGGCGTTACAGAGCGGCGCTGCAAAGCGGCGATGTTGCCAAGAGGCCGCTGTGTTGCAACGACGCGGTTTCCCCTTTCCCCGCCCCTGTGTGACTGGAGGAGCCGCACGGAGACGATAACGCGTATCGCGAGAATCCTCAAAAGGTGACATATGCGGGGCTTTCCTCCTATGTGGGGTGAATCCCTCAACCGCGATTTTCCGCTGCAGAAAAAAAAAAAAAAAAAAATATACATACATATATATATATACACAACAGGGGTACTTGCATACACGTGCACTCCTCCACCACGTGATGGGGCAAAAAAAAAAAAAAAATTTCTTCACCTTTTCCCTTTTTAAGCATTTGCAACTGTGCTTATTCCACCTACCGTCACGTAAATCGCACAAGCTTGCACGCCTCCATAATTCCGCCCCACGCAATGAAGAGAATGCCAATTGGGGTGACCTCGCCGCGGTGGTACCTTCTTTGATCCAACCACCCCTCCCCGTTTTGCCAAGCGGATTAAATCTACCCCGCAAGTCGCTATCCATTTGAGTTGTTCCATTCCCCTATACTCATATATGTACCCGTCGTGACGGAGTATATATGAACTCGCCTTTTGACTAGACCCCCCTGCCAATTGTGGAGACGCCCATGGCAGTTGCACGAAGCGGGCAACGTGAGAGGCGAAATAGTTAATCATCCCGCTTTGCCCTGAAACCATGGAGGACATAACGAAGAAGAAAAAAAAAAAAAAAAAAAAAACCAAAGTAACCGTCGAGACTTTCCAAAAGGAACACACCTGTGTGTTGCAAAAAAAAAAAACAGATGTGTACATAACGTCAGGGAAACCAATAAAAATTTACTATGACCGAGTCATTAAGGTTCTTAATAGTGGTATCAAGCAAGTGGAAATGGTCATTGATGGAGACAACAAACAGGTACACAATGCGTATAAGCCATCCGGGGAAGATCAAGTGTCCATTTATGCCGTTGGGACAAACATCCTCAGAGCATCTTACATCCTTCAGGACGTTATAAATTTTTATTCTACTTTTATAAAGAAGGTACAAGAAATGGCCACCAAGAAAGAAAAGAAGCCAAAGTTTGCTGATGTTTTTTCTTTCATTAACATTCATGTTGAAAGCAAAACGCTACACATGAATGATACCGTCATATCTAACACGTATACGGTGAAGGAGGAGTTCCTGCAGGACGACTACGATGCTGTGATTGCGTTTGCGAGGCAGCCTTATGACCCCTCTTTGCACAAGTACAGGGAGGTAGGGTGTCCTTTTGCCATATACTTGCCGCGCGAGGGGGTAGCCTGCGCCACACACATTGATTTGCACCACGTAACGCGTTCTTATCACTCTCTACACCACGTTGCACCCGCTTCTTCCCATCCGCAGAGGACCAAGCAGCGAAGAGTTACCGGAGTCGTCATCACGATAAAGAAAAACCCCACAGTGTTGTAGGATAATGCCCTTCCCTTCTGCAACGCCTTTTTCGTTCAATTTTGCTCGCAAATTTGTTTTTTTTTTTTTTCTTGCCATTCGGATTTGAAGAGGAGGGGAGCGTCCGTACACAGGATATTCTCGTCGTTAGTGCCCAAATGTATAAAGGCAACTGCCGAATGCACCTTCCGCTTCTTCTTCTTTTTTTTTTTTTTTTTTTTTCCCCATTGTTACTCGCACGGGAGAAATAACGCACAAAGGAACGATGCAAATGCTAGGGACAAATAAAGTGCAGCGGTTAGGAGGTGACGACGCCTGCGCTTTAACACTTATACATGTGAACAGTTAGGACCTTTTTAAAAAATGCAAATTGAATTGGGAAGTGCCTACGCTGATTTAAGTTGGAACAAATGGAAAATATAATGCTCCCCTTCAACTTTTATTTTAAAAATGCTACTTCTGTACAACTGACCGATCGTACAAACCCCCATTGCGACGTCGTCAGTTATACACACGCATGGGGGTAGCGGCACACGTGTAGGTGTTACTGTTACACACCTCAGCGGGGATGCAACCGACGTTCAAACTCACTTTAAGAAAAAGCACCAATGTACTACCAAAAAGAAATAATCAAATGGCTTGAACAGAAAAATAAACTTAAGAAGGGGAAGCGCAGCGGTAGGTATGTGCTGCTTCGCTTCAAACGGGCAGTTAGAGAATCCCTTTGGGGGGAACTCCTTTGTAAGGTCAGCCTGGATGGAGGGGTCACGAGCCCCACCCCAGGGCACAAGTTAATCAGTGGTACTGCGCAAGGAATGATTGATGGGTCTCTCTATTCGCTCGCTCCACGTGGAGACCCCCCAACGGAGCGCACACCAAAAGTGCGTATGCTGAAGAGAACCATACAAAACTTCCACAACGTGCGCCTCCTCCTCGGGCGCAACGACCCAGTCTGTGCGGATCTGGCGCGGGTGTTCTCGCAAGAATTACAGGAAAGGGAAGGAAAGACACTTAACAGTCTCGAGGAGAACCAACCGAATGGTGCAAACAGCCTATATGACCACGTGCAGTACCTCCCCAGTGAGCCTCTCCAACGGGGTGTCAACGACACCTTAGACATAGTAGACCTAATGCACCTCTTCAATTTTTACACCTCCATTGAATGGCACCGATTCAATTTCCTAATTATAATTTTAAGGTGCATAATCAGCATGGGAAGGAGCATGGCCGACACTAACGAGCAGATATGTGTTAAGTTCCTGCAGTCATGTGTCAATCTGAGAATTGAAATAAAGAAAAATTTGAAGTCACAAAAAGGAAGATCCATTTGGGGGCTAAACAAGGGAGCCATTCATTGGGGTAAATTTGACCACTTTGGGTTAGTACAAAACAGAGTCCCTTCTATCCATGTATCACCTTGTCAGATGAAACGACTCAACGGGAAGTCTTCCCCTAAGTGGAGTCATTCACCAAAAGGACTACACAATAAGTTTAAGTTATCACAGAAAGAGAAAAATGCACTCCAATCACTTCCCCCATGTGGGAGGGGGAAAAGTCACCTCTTTCATTTGACCTATGCCAAATGGATGAAAAGAAAATTCAAATTAGAACTGGAAATGTGTAATAGGTTGATGGAGGACTGTGCTTATATGATTTTAGGAAGAGGGGGACAGCTGAACGATACATATATGAAATACGTAAAGGTATTACATCGAGGGAGACTCTACCTAAATGGGGATGAGTCGTTAAAGTCCTTCACGGCCAAACTGGCGGACTACATAAATGCCAAGTGTGAGTATCTCTCACCAGATGAGCTCATAAGCGCGGTGCACTACTTAACCAATGCGAGGAGAGAAGCCAAAAGGGACACAAAGGTAGTAGACCCCAAAGCTAGTACAATACAACTGACCAGAGCCATCACTCGCATAAGTCAACACCTATGTATTTCTATTCAAAAAAAGACAAATGAATACACCGTGGGGGAAGTTTGCAAAGTGTTATCTCTCTGCGCCAGGAATAAACACTACGATATGAATCTCCTGGATGGTGTCACCGCATATGTAGTGGAAAATTTAGACCAAGTCAGCTCCAGAAGACTCACCCGATTGGCCATAAATATACATGACATGCTGGGTTACACACATAATGGGTTGCTATTGGCGATTGTGAATCGGTACAGGCCGCCTCGTCCAAGGGGCGCATCTCGGAGGGACACCCCTGGGGAAAGCAGAAGCATAAGGGGAGGGAAAAGGACCCATAAACGGGGGTGCGATAAACTCCACACTATACAGGAGGGGGGAGACTCCGCACCCGAAACTGTCCCCCGTAGAAACTTCCAAAACGTAAAAATCAGCCAACTCCTGCGGTTCATAAAAGTCCTCATCAAAAACGACATACACCTGGATGAAGAGTGGGCGCACTACTTCCTCTCCCTGATAAAAAAAAAATTCACACATATCAGCAGAAAGGACTTTCCCCTTCTCTGCTACACAATGTTGCACATCCAGTCGAGGGAAATCATCCCTAGCTTTTTCAACCCATCCAGTAGATACCATATATATAAATACTTTCCCGTCGATCAGCTAGCCAACTCACTTCGTTTGACTCCACTCATTCAGATTATGCTTCTCCTCTCCACACACATACATCACCACAATAGGAGGATTTTTTTTTGTTTTTTTTTCAAAGTGCTTAAAAAGTTTTGCCTTCAGACTGACATTCCGCAAGACAGTTCAGACGGGGAGGAGGCATTCACTCATGGAGATGCCTTCACAGGTATGTCTTCCTCCCCCCACGTAAGGAATGACCAGAGTAGAAAAAACGTACCACCCGAGTTAAGTTTTTATATGCACAATTTAAACTTCTACGAAAGAGGGAACAACAATAAGTATGATAAAAAAAAAAAAAAAAAAAAAAAGCAACGCCTTCAGAATTATATTGCAAAGGTACCCATTCCGACTTGTGAGGAAATGAAAGAAAAAATAATCCCATTCATAAAATTAACTCAACCCGATTACCAACGTGATGTTATTATGGACGAGACGGATGGGTTGAGATCCAATCAAGGGAGAAAGACAGCTTGTGTGTACACTGTCACCACGCTAGGTGGAGATACCTCTCCTAACCAACAGAACAATGTTAAAAATAAGTGCTCTACTCGAGTGACGGTTCCACTTGGAGGAGATCACACCCATCGTGGAGACTCACCAGGAGGGACAAATCACTCACATGTCGTCATGCCATGCTACACAGTGGCCGATGCGGAAGCTTGCATGGATGCCACTGCGAAGAGCCTCCCAAAGAAGACCCCCCTACGACTCAACAACACAGCAATTGGTAGCAGAGGAAGGACAACGGAACCCCCAATGAAGAAACAATCTCCTCATGAAGGAGACTACTTCGAAAACTTAGCCAATGCGCGAAGCATCCTTTGGGCAATACAGAATGTACTTCTGCACCTTGCGGAGGAGAACCCAAATGATTGTCTTCTTGAAGATGGTTCGCATAAGCGATGCTTGTCATCGCGACTGAATGAGCTAACCTTTACACAGCTATCCCTTCTCCACAGGACATACGCGCTAGGCTGCTCCTACATCGATTCTTCCCTCAGTGCGCAGAGGAGCTTGAACAACGAGAGGGTCGTGGCTTCGTCTAAGCTCCACAAACAGGTCCTGTCCATCCTGGCGCACATGGTAGGGAGAAAGGAAGCGGAACGGGGGAGAGCATCGGCGGTACAACATCCGTGGTGTAATGTCCCTCACCTTAATACAAACATGTACTTTCTCGACTTTGCAGACTACCCAAGACGAAATTATAAGCGAGCTCGTCCATCACCCCTTCCAAGTCGATATATGCCTCAGGAGGAAGCCCTGCTAACGTGGTGTCCCCCGTGAAGACGAAGGAGCATGCTCACCACTATCCCTTACACACAAGCATATCATTTCTCAACAGATGACAAGTGGCATATATTACAGTTGTAAAATAAAATGGTCGAAAATGGGAAGCAGAGAAAAAAGGGGTCTTTTAAAAAAAAAAAAATGAATAATTCATTACACAGTTGGGAGGCACTGTTTTTTTTTTTTTTTTTGGCGCATGTTCTCGCTAATGCACAGGGTGCTCTGTAGGTGACCAGTTGGGAGAAGCTAACCGCTTCTGTACGCCTACCCCCTACTTTTCCTTTTCTTTTTGTCCTGATTTAGTCGTACCTCCCCAGGGCTGCTCGATTTCCTTTTGCCCCTCTGTGGAGTGACGCTGCTGCCCTCGCTAATCCGCCCATTTCTGGTGCAGTACGTGCGCTCCGTTGTGCCCGAGCGTCTGAAGTTGTAGGGGCTGCTTTTCTTGTTCGGTCGCTCGATGGTGTGCGCGCCCAGGGGAGTTCGTGTGCCTGGCGAGTCGTCATCATTTGCCGGGTCGCCATTTTGCGGCTCGCCGTTCGTCAGGTCATCATTTACGGGGTCGCCATGTTGCGGCTGGCCGTTGGTGGTGTCATTCCCTGCGCCTTCACCCTTCTCCTTCTCACTTATCTCCGTCTCCTCTTTCACCGTGTCGCTGCGCACCGCTTCTTCTTCCGCTTCCCCCCCTGAATCAATCAACTGCAGAAATTCCACATTGGAGAGATTCTCCTCGTCCATGAGGTGCACGTTAATTTGCCTGCGCGTCCTCTTGAACTCCACCTCGACTCCGTCGTCTATGTCCTCGTAAAAGAGATACGACGGAAGTTCGTCCTTGTTAACAAGCTTTTTGCTTTTTATTAAAACTGCCTCGATTTCGTTTTGGTTTTCCTCCTTCAAAATGGAACTGCGTTGTTCCTCCCAGGAGAGGGCTTCTTCTATGGGCGGTTCATCTGGAGGCAGTTTTTCCTTTTCCATTTCGTCGCTTCCCATTTTGCCGCTTCCCATTTCGCCACCTCCCATTTCGCCGCCTCCCATTTCGCCGCCTCCCATTTCGCCGCCTCCCATTTCGTCGTCCTCACTCATATACGTCAACTGCACCGCGTCTGGCTTGTCCTCATTGAGAGTCTTCAGATGTGTGTATAATTCGGAGCCGAAGTACCTCTCATCGAATCTGAGAAAATATTCCAACTCCACATCTGACCTCTGCATGTAGTAGTTGAGTAGCAGTGGGTTGGTGGAGTGCACCATGACTTGTCCCTTCTGGCTCCTTTGTAAAATATTTTTGAGCTTATTCTTTCTGTCCTCATCACTGTATATTTTATTAAATAGACCTGCCTGTATTACCTTGTCGTTCATGGTTAATTTATCCTGTGCCCTTTGGAAAATGAGTTCTTCTACTCCAGACAGAGTAATGAACCGGAATACCTTTACGACATTCTTTTGCCCAATTCGATGACACCTGCACATGGCTTGTATGTCTTGGTGGGGGTTGAAGTCGCTATCGAAGATGATCACCGTGTCCGCTGTTTGTAGGTTTAGGCCTAGACTGCCCGAGCGAGTGGACAGCATAAAAATCATGGTTTCGTCGTGCCCCCCGTTTGGCTCATCCAGGGGGTCACCCTCACAGGCACCCGCTCCACTCACGCCATTTGCGTCGTTTGCTTCATCCACACCAGCCGCTTTATCCGCTTCATCCACGCCAACGCGGTTGAACTGCTCGATGATCCTCCTCCTCTCGTGCAGGCCGATGTTTCCGTCGAGGCGGTGGAAGCGGTGTCCGCGGTAGTCCAGGTAGTCGCAGAGGATATCCATCAGTTTTGTCATTTGGGAGAAAATTAAAATTTTGTGACGAAACTTGAGCAGCTTTGGAAGCATCCTGTCTAGCACTTCAAATTTCCCACTGCACTTTATTAAGCAATCGTCAAGGTTGTACTCTTCAAGGAAAAGATACGGATGGTTCACGACCTTCCTCAGTTGCATCACCATATTGTGACATGACTTGTTACTAATGGAGCCATTCTTATTAATTTGCATGAACCCTTTCATCTCAATTTGGCGGTAAAGCATTTTCTGGTATAAAGACAAATCTATATATACGTTGTACTCGTACTTTTTCGGTAGTGACTTTAACACATCCTTCTTTACTCTCCTCAACATGAAAGGGAGGAGGACGCTATGTAACCTATTTATAATTAGCAGCTGTTCCTCTTCTGTTATGACCACGTCTTGTACATCCTTATCATTATGTAATGGGCGTATAAACCATCTCTCGAAATCTTCACAAGAGGAAAAAATTTTTGGTAATAGGAAATTCAAAAGAGACCACAACTCACAGAGATTATTTTGTAAAGGTGTTCCAGTCAACAGTACCCTATGCTTACTTTTAAAATCCTTTAAAATCATATGAAATCTCGATTTACTGTTTTTCATTCTGTGCCCTTCATCTACTACTATGTAGGTCCAAAAAAATTTTATGAGCAATGCTTTTTCCTTTATAGCAAAATCGAAGGTGGTCAGACAAATGTCGTATTCAGATTCGAGCATCAGTTTTGCTAATCCCTTCCTTTCCCACTTGGTTCCTTTGTATGTGATGACTTTAAGCGAAGGACACCATGCTTCGAATTCGCTCATCCAGTTTGGTAATGTGGACAAAGGTACTATTATCAGATTCTTCGGATGTCTTCCTCTTGCACCACCACCAGATTCACTTTTCCCATCACACATGCCTCCCCACTTAAACTCCTTTAGGTAGGCAAACAGACTAATCGTTTGAATAGTTTTCCCTAGACCCATCTCGTCTGCAAGGATCCCATGTAAATTATTGTTGTAGAGAGAGATGAGCCACTCTAACCCTTCCAGTTGATACTTCATTAGGGTTCCTCCAATCAAGATCGACGGCTGCACCACCTTCTCTCTAACCGAGTGAGACACAAGAAGGTATTTCTCCCGGGCATCCTTGTAATTAGACTTCATGGCCATATTTGTACCCTTCGAATGATATGTAGAATCCATTTCATTCGAACCGATTGATGAAGGTTCATCTCGAGACACAACATCAGATGCACTTTCCTTCTTCTGCCACATCACGCATGATGACATGTTCGTTAAAAATTCCTCCGTCACATCTAGCAATTCCTGGAGTCGCTTATTTTTTGTATTCTTTAGTAAATCCATATAAGCGTCCATGTCGTTTTCCTTGAGCAATCTCAAACGTTCTTTTTCTTCCCGTTCGATAATTATTTTCCTCTTTTTCTCAATTAGCTTCATTTGCTCATAACATTGGTTAGCAAGCAGCTTGGCATTACTCCTTCGTTGGTCCGACATTAGCTTCACGGTGTGGTGGTGTCTCCTCAGCTCATTCCAGTTAGAAAGTAAAATGTACTCCTTGATGGTCCCCACTCTATTGTGTAATTTTGAATTCGTTTGCACCTTTTTAATGTAATCATTCAGGTAGTTTTTCTCCCCCATGCTTCTTCCCCCCGTGCTTCTTCCCCCCGTGCTTCTTCCCCCCGTGCTTCTTCCCCTCATTTGGCTTCTACCCCTATGATTGTTTTCCTTCATGACACCTTGTCGTCTCCTCCTCTTGGTTCCCTCCTCCCCATGCGAGGCATTATCGCCTTGCTTGAAAGTCTCCACACGTTTCGTGCTCTGCGAAGACTTGTATACAAAGGGGTTGCAAGTAGACGTGGTCATGCTCGAACTCATTTCCCCCGCACCCAAACGATTGACACCCTTAATGGGAACCTTCATCGGGTGAGTATCACTGATGATATGAAAACCAAACATCGAATTAACCACATCAGATCTTAACCTCTTCTGGCATAGTTCAATCCTCTTGGCATTTTCCTCGTCCTCCAGAAAAAGCTGCATTGCCTCTATGGGTACATCACTTGTTTCTCTTCTCTGTCTCAAAGGAGCGGGAGATTTTCTAATCACCCCTTTCACTCGTTCCAAGTAGGGTAAAGTGAAGCGACTCATTATGTCGTACTTGACACACAAATCGCTCAGGTATTTAAAATAGGCGTTCTTAGATCGCTCTAACTTTTTCATTGTACGTAAGGACTCTTTGTCGAAATGCAGCTGCTCAAGTATATCCTCGTCCGAGGTGCAGGGGCTCTTGTTGAGGGGATCCTCTTCTTCTGAAGACGAATTGGAAAAGAGGCTGCTGCTATCAGATGAGGCGACGTGGCTGTCTGAGGACTTTTTCCTCATAGTACCCTCCACTGTTGAAGTAGCATTAGAGGATGCTTCACCCCCCCTGCTGACGACCCGCCTTTTCCTCCTCTTCATTCTGTCCCTATACCTCAAGTATTTCAGATTTAATCCAATTTCCATGAACCTTTCTGCCTCTCCATTTTCGTTTTTAAAAAATTTCTCGTCACATGAACTGAAAAAGTTCAGGTGTTCGTTGATGTAATCATTCAGAGCGTTGCTCACAAAGATCTGTTTGTCTTTTTTAATCCTAAGATGTTCGCTTACGTAGAGGTACTCCTCATTGTCCACCTGCTCCGTCTGCTCCACGTGTTGCTGCTCAGGTTCGTTTCGTTCATCTCGTTCATTTGCTTCATTTCCCCCCGGAGATTCCTTGTCACTCTTGTCCACAGGGAGAGGTGAAGTCAACTCGAATGTCTCATCATCTGGTTGGACTACTAACGTGGGAGTTTCTCCACCTCGGCTCACGTTATCCTCTTTCGAGGAAATAGAAACTCCTGTCACATGTTCATTCAAGCTATCTACAACCATCCCCTCCATATTTAACTCACAAAAGGAACCTCCTTTTTCATCTCCACAAGTTTTTTTTTCCCCCAATTCATCTATATTTGTACCTTGAGCTGAATGTCCACCTGCTTTCTCCATTGGAGGATTTAACAAAGGTGTTTTTAGAACCTACTGGGAGTTGCTACCTTGTCTCTATCGTGGGAGGAAAGTTCCCCCTACAATTATGTTATGAGGTTCCAAATAGGGGTTATGTGCAGGTACGGTGGGTTGACAAATCGGTTAGGCGCATTGGGGAACGGGAACCCTAAAGGATGGATACTTTTTTTTTTTTTTTAGCAAACGGGGCAAGTCGCAGGAAGGGAAAGAAAGAATAAAAAAAAAGAAGAAGCAAAAATAGGAAAAAGGATACTTTGTCCTTTATTACACCTTGTAGTTAGACCACCCCTCACTTTTTTTTTTTTTTTTTTTTTTTTTT